AAAAAAAATATATATTATATTTAAATATAATTTTTATCACTTAATTTTAGTTTATTAAATATTTTATTTATTTCAAAATAATCATTATTTTCTTATTTTTTAAAATATATAAATTTTTTTATTTAACTCTATTATTACTTATTTTTTAATTAATTTTTATATCTCAATTAATTTAAAATGAACATAATAAATGCTAACCACTTAAATAATTCAATTGTAATTTCATTTATTGAAAGTAAAAGTTTTAAATTCGAATCGCATAACATATGTATGGAATAAGATAAGAAATATAAGAATATTGTTTTTTATTGTGCAATCAACATATAAAAAAAAAACATAATAAACTATACACTGCATTGCTTCATACAAAAGAAACCATAATTAAATATTTACAACCTCTAGTTAAATTACAACCCCATTGAGTGTTGGGAACAAATATAACAAACTTGTTTTTTTTGTTTTTCTTTAAAGTTAAGATATCTTAAACTAATTTTCATGTGGTTTAATATTAATCTCCCTTTAGCTAATTTTAATGATATAAATATAGCTATCTATTTGATAGAAGAGGTGATTCCATATCTTCCACGATCTCTTCACTGCTCAAGTTTTCCTCAACCTTGAGTGAGCAGGCATGGCACAAAGATATCACCTAACCGAAAAAACAACATATTCATAATCAGCTTAGAATCACGTCTCCTCATCTAGCTAGAATTTAACATGTCACGTTTAGATTGAATGGTTGTAATATTGTGTGCTGTGTTAATGTCTCTAGAGAGGGCTTACCATGCATATAGATGCAACTACAATGCTAAAACCCTTGCAGTTGAAAGGGGCATCGTTAGAAAGGAACCAAGCTGAAATGGACATTCAACTTGTGAGCAACTCTCATTAAAAAGGGCTTTTAACATTCAAGACAGACAGATCATGCAGTTAACTCACAGGTCAATGGAGTCATTGCAATTGGTGATATTAAGCTTGCTATGGATTGAACACCAGCAATGAATCCCTGTGCTTTTCCCTGCCATAGCAAAGAAATAAATTGTAAGAAATTGAAGACATGGTTCAAGGGGATTATTTTACAGAGTTAAAAAGCAAACCTGATCAGTTGAGCTTGATGCTTTTGAAATTATAGCAAAAGTCTGCAGATTGATGAAGTGGTTATGGTAAAATGAGATACATTCATGACTGAATACTGCTCTTTCTGAAGTTGACAAGAGAAGTTAAATGTTACTTACCGAAGGTTTCACAAGTACATAAATGACTCCAAATGAGGCACTTAAATATGGAACCTGCATTGACAAATGACAACAGATATTTCAGAACAACCAACTTTCATGTTAAGACTTCATATATGTCGTGGAAATAAACAAAACAGAGACTACTAAAACAATCCAGGGCTAGCTGCATACCCAAGATGCCCACGCTAAGCCATAGAACATTGCCTGGAAAAGTGCAAATGAAAAGGCAATGTTAAGTTTTTATTTCACATTTTTTCTATTTCTTGATATTCTTCTGTGAAAAGGAGCGGGCAACTTACATAAGCTATTGATGCAAGTAAGCCAATACATAGTATCACTTTCTCTCCAACAAATGGATTGATTATAGGAAGCACCAAAATCTAGAATCAGGTCACAATAAGGGATGAAGCCATGCTCGGAAGGAAAATCGATGTTTCAAAGCATGTTGAATCTTTAATGAATAAAGAAAATATGATAACCGGAAAACCAGCATACCTGAGAAACAATTGAACCTATTCCCACCATCAACAGTATTTCTGAAAACTGATTTTTGTTGAACCCAAAGGTGGCTTTTAGATAAAACTGCCAGGTGTGCATACAAAAGCATAAGAGTCTGGGCATTTGAGTCTCTACTTCTAATCAATGTGTGCACTGTTATTATAATCCCCATCCAGAAGGGGAGAACTAAATTTCCCCCTAATTTATGAATGGCCTTGAAATGAAGATATGATTACAAATTTACAATGACAATCAAAGTTGGGTGGTGTAATAATGGCATTAATAGAAGACTTACAAATAAGACAGTGGTGATGCCAGACATTCCCAACTCATAGAAGAAGGAAACAAAGGAAATGCCTCTCAGTGTTGGGCTGAAAATTCCAAGAAAATGAACTCCTTAGTCATACAGCACAAATAGAATCCTTTTCATCTATTAGAATTTTCTGAAAAGGTAGTAATGAGTAATGATGAGGGAAGATTGAGAAAAGATGCATCTTGTAGTACTAAATTACCTGCTAACAACTATTCTTGCAGCATCTCTCATTGATTTATATCTTTTTTGGAGAACCTGAATTGTCTTACTCAGGCAGCTTGAATCCTGTTCTGTCTTAGGAGGTGGCTCAGCCGTCTCCACGAGAAAGAATTGCATATAAAGTGGACAAGAAATCAAGAGAGCAATTGAAACCTGAAAAGAAAACTCATAGGCATTAGAACAAGTAGACATAATATATCCATGAGGATAAATGTAATGCTCTAGTAAAATAGCTAATGCCCACATACCCCAAAAATGTACTTCTCTGGAAGAAAAAGTGCTAGCAGGTTTCCTAAGACATGCGAAGCAGAAAAGAGACCTGTAATCCAACTAAATGCTGCAGCCCTCTTGCTTTCACTGATAAAATCTGCCTGGCAGAGGAAGGGAAATTGTGATGCTTGACATCTATTGAGCTTCAACCATGATTTTTTCATGTCAATGAAGAAAAATGCTTACCACATAAGCAACAGCAATGCAGAAAATGCTTCCTTGACTTATAATATATGAAATAGTACGTAGAACATAATATGCGTAAACAAATTCCCTGGACCGATTCCAGGCAAGTAAAGCTGCAAAATAGATAAAGATGAGTAGATTGATTGTCGTCATATCATAGATGTCAATTACATGAATACAATAGACACTTATGAAGGCTAATCAAAAGTCTAAAATTACCAAAAGGAAATATGCTTGTGGAGACGGTGAGGAGTAGTAATGGTTTGCGCCCATATTCATCAGCAAGCTGGCCTAAAAGTGGAAGTACCACCATCTTGAAAACTCCAACTACCTACACACAGTAACATATACCTAAGCCTGTTATCATTAATACTAATTAACAAATATCAACATTTCCCATCATAAGACCCAGAATCATTAATATGAATTTAGTACTATGGTATCACAAAACTATTTCTACAAGTACCAATTACTATGTTGGTGTGCATTTTTAGTTTTTAGCTTCAGACTCAACTTTTATAGACAGTATAATGGCTTATGGGGAAAGAGTAGGTGCCCTGCTCTTACATGACAAGATTCAACTCTTTTCAAGCATAAATAAGGGAGATCTTGTTTTGTTCCATAGTGCTCTCTACTTGCACCATGGATTTTCTGTTTATCTATTTCTTGACTTCCTTATTGGACAAATCTTCTTTAGATCCATGTTCTGCTTCTGCCCCACCATTTTGTAATTTCAAAAGCGGAGAACATTAAGGTCATTGTAAGGAACCCAAATTGCTTGGCTAAAGTTCTATCAAACAAAATGCTAAGGCTCTATTAACCCAATAACAAGATGCAGTAGAAAAAACCTACTAGGGACCACAGATGCGGCGACTATATAGTTTCCGTCCAAGCAACTACTATCCTCCGTCCTGAAATCCACTGTCCTATTCAAAGTATTGTTCACAATGTTGAAAAATATAAAGGAATCCCACTTTAGTACCAAGCCCACATCCACTTTGTTCTTTCTTTTTAGGAGCCATAAGCACCACAAATGAGTATTCCTTTAGCCCAGCACAAGTTTGCACATCACTTAATTACAATTTCCTTTTGTCTATGCCATCTAAAAAAACACAGCTGAACTCATTTCAATCAAACTTCAAACCCAAGTTAGTTGGGACGGAACCCCAACAAGCTCATTTCAATCAAGCCTACATCAGTCTTTTTTCTCCGTTATGTTTGATCAAATGATCAGTCTAAATCTACATTGTCAAATCGATTCTGCAGCTCATGTTGGTTGCTGAATCCACATGTATAGAATATACTGTTTCCTATAAACATCCAAATGCTCGCATAATAAATTCAAAACAAAGAGATAGAGAGATCATGTGCACACAAATACACTGTCTCTCTTTGACATGGTTATAGGATTAAAAAAACTTCTGTGACAGCTAAAAACAGATCAGAAGCAATTCAATCATTAATTTATTAATACAGAAACCAAGTTAATCTTGTATGCTAAGATCTGATTCATTAATGCAGAATTTGAAAAATCAACAATTTTTATGCTTTCAGTAACTTGTGGTACATACATCTACCAACACAAAGCAAATACTGAAAAGATCCAAACTTTGAAGTCAAGATATGTTAAAAACAATTGTTAAAACCAACTCAATTACAAAAGCTACTGTGCTTCATCTTAAGAAATATGATGATGGTAATGTGCAGAAAGCCCTTCTCTTTGAAAAAAAAAAAAAAAAACTTGTTAAAAAAGAAATCAAGCAATTCCATTTCATTTTGCTGCATTTGCTGAAGAACCAAACATAAAAAAGGAGAAGGAAAACAAAAAGGGTACAACTAAGTCCAACTCACCGTCTGTTGAATACCATTGATGTAAATTGCCTCAGAA